CGTTGGCTGTTGGGCTGGCGTTACATATCTTCGCTACACAGTGCTGACGAGCCCCAAGAAGGGCGAAACAGCTGTCCACTGTTGCGATCCTACTTTATCTGTTCTTGTCATGTTGGTGTCTCGAAACGTTTTTCACGTAGTATCAGCCTTGCAGTCTATTGTTTGGCTCATATACGTCCGATTTTCAACCCTCCTTAAAACCCGTCCCAGCAAGTTGCAGAGTTGCTACCAAGACTTTTCATGTTTTCTAGACCCTAATGAACACTTCTAGACTGGTGGCTTGCTTTCAGCACGAAATTCCCACGGGACTTAATTTTACGACATTTGCTCCCAGACTATAACTTGTAAAGTAATTCCACAACTAAATTGAAACAGACACAGCTAAGATTACTTTTTCTAAATGCTCTGATACGCTAAACAAAACAAACGGATACTTCCCCTTCCTGTACATGAAAAAGTATCATCCCTTAATAGTATCGTACACACCTGGGTTTACTTGGGGCGGATAGGAAGTCTGGGGTGCTTGCAGCTGCCCAGCAGGATATTGCGCCTGATTTGGTTGCTGTGCCTGCTGTTGTACATAAAGAGGCTGCCCTTGAGACACAGTAGGCTGCGTCTGAGGCTGTAACTGATTAGTTTGCATTACTGGGCTCACTTGAGGAGCTGTTTGCTGAATTTGAGGTTGAACGGGTTGCCCTACTGGAGTCACTTGAGGGGCTGTCTGCTGAATCTGTGGCTGACCTTGTAAAGGCTGGGGTACCGCACTTAACTGAGGAACTGTAGGCTGAATCTGAGGCTGAACTTGGGGCGTTTGAATTGCTGGGTTCACCTGAGATGTTGTTTGTTGAATTTGAGGCTGAGGTTGTAAAGGTTGCGTCAATGAGGTCATTTGAGAAGCTGGTTGCGTTGCTGGCCTCACCTGGGACTGGCTTGGAATTACAGGCTGCCGCACCTGCGGTTGCGGCTGTGAGGTCTGAACGGCCGTACCTACCTGAGTTCCTACTTGAGGCGGCACCTGAGGTTGATTTGCCTGGACTTGCTGCTGAACCAGCTGCTGTGGTTGTAGCACCACTGCACCGGCTTGTTGCGGCTGGGGTTGAACTGGTACTTGAGGTTGATAAGGGTTTTGTGGGGGAGCTATCTGCCCTGGTCCGGCTTGTGGTTGAAGGTATCGGCTACATGTGTGAGGACATATACTCTGCCATTCCATGTCGCCTTTACAAAGAGCCTGTTTGGGATTACACTCACTTGATAGGTCCATAACGGGATCACCTATAGATGCAGAATAAATCCAGTGCATTTGTATGTTAACAAGAAAAGGAAAATTGGAGTGCCTCAATAATATAATCGGTCAGTAACGTCAAATTGCCTCTTGAAACAATTCGCCGCCACGACAACGTTGCCTTGGTGCGCAAACGGGGCAGCGGCACTAGCCGAGAATACAGAAACGTCTAATGGGGGCCGGAGGCGATGGACTGGCATACCATGTAGGGAGGTAGTAATATTTCTTATCTGTAGTCAACGTTTTGACCACGAGGTTGAACTGAGTTTGGTGAGACTGCCATTACCAAGACGGCGCCACTTAATTTTGATAGGTGGCCGCCTGAAAGGGAATGGCCGCTTAAGGTGATTCCTCAGTATTCCGTGCTATCGCATCCCTACTGCACACGATTTTCGCGTCATTAACGCGCGCACACGAGCGTGTGCGCATTCACGTGCACAACGTAAGAGATTTCCGTCAAGCTAAGCTCGAAAGCGAAATAAATGCTCGTTTTCTCTTAAACAAGCACGGTGACCCCCGCTTTTTAATGCGTGAATTTAAATTACACGAGGTTATCTACAGTATATCTCGATTTGAAGAAAGGGTTAAAATTCTGCTTAAAACATTTTTTATTTTAATGCTGTAAAGGGCACGTCTTTAGGTAGTACTGGGTATGTGCGCACGAAGAGAATTCGTAATGTAATCGTAACTCCGGACCTGTTTAACTGGCATGGTTTAAAATGTAAGTTCAGGGTCTATTTTGTTTGACATCTCTAATAAATTAATCCAATATGTGCTTTTCTTAGAATTTCTAGTGCCCCTTTCTGCTAATTAAGGTTAAGTAACAACAACCTAGTAGGTTGCAAAGGTGCTATAAAGGCCATCTATGTTGTACAAAAACGAGCACGGTGACTNTTCTGGCAAGTAGCCGGATTTAAAAATGGGAAGATTCGCGGTAAATAATTAACAAAAACATTCCGTTCTTGAAATCACAATAGGCCATAAAAAGTCCACCAAAACTTCCGTGCTACGGTATTTCGCGACTAATTTGAGATCTATAATTGGTCACAGAATAGACTATAATGAGGGAGGGGCTTTGAAAGGCCAGTGGCACATAACAGAAAAGTAAGTTCCCTCCAGAGTTACGCAGCGGTAAGTATCAAATTATGCACGAGACTAATAGATGCCTAGAAGTTGAAACAAAATATTACAACAAACGCTCAATAGTACGCTACTGATCAGGACTTGATGGTTTTCAGAGCATACAAAGAGAAAATGGATCCATGGAACAACTCTTTAAAAGTGGTTTCGATTACTAATCGAAACCACTTTTGCTATACGAAAAGGAAAGTGAAATAAAACCGATTTACCAATAGCTCGATAATGGAAAAAAGCTTCCGGGTATTGTTTTAGAGCTGCAATAAATCTAGCAGCTTTCGTGTATCGAGGACATCATTCGTGTAGGGGGAGGGGGGGGGGGGCTGACCTGGTACACCCATCTTGCATGTCAGCTTGCAGTAGTTGCTCATATATTTAGACCGTGTTCCACAGTAGAATTCGAAATTTTCACAACGTTCCTTCTCGACATCAAAGCACGTCTCCTTATCCGCTGAGGGACAAAATAACCAGAATTAGTAGCTTGACACTGTCAGTAGCCAGAAGACAAGTATTGTTTTTACTGAAGCGTTGTTTTTGGGGTCGGCATGTGCATCTACCCCCAGTCTGTACCCAGTTCTTTTATGTTCTCTAAGATCAGCTAGGAAAATAGAAACTAGGGAGGATAAATGATGGCAAGAGATTATGATCTCTTACCTTTCTGTATAAATTTAGTCCTAAAGTGGAAAAGAGGTTTACACATAGCAAGAAAAATAAATCAGAATTCGTAACAAAAGTGAACAATGTTCATTTCTAATGAATTCTATTGATAGACTGGCCCGCCTAGACTAGCGTGGTATTCGCGGGCCAGTCCAACTGTAAAATGTAGATGTTTTCTTCATTACAGCTGTAATGTTGGCGGTTTTTGTAATAAGCAGGTTTTCCGGGAGCGGGTTATTAGTCCACTGACCAACCCCCATCCCAGGGGACTAGGGGCTGCTCTTTGTCTGTGCTCTACCCTTCGACCAATCTGGCATGGTTAGAACTGCCAGGGACAGAAGTCCCAGCCAGCACAGCTCAGTTGGGTGATTTAGTCACGCAAGATTCACAACTAGAAAGAAAACTATGGGAAGACGAAAGGAGACCACTACTTTCGTGGGCCATGAGAATAGCCCATTTCCGAGTATCCAGGCTTTGATAGCCTCTCTATCAAAGCGAAATCATACATATGAAAAAAAGTTTAATTTGCATGTGAATGAAATTTCATTTTCATATGAAAGGA